GATGAAGATGGTCCCGATGTTATGATTGAAGGAGAACCCTTCGAGTTTTTGATAGACTCGAAGAGTGGAGCCGGGGTTTTGTGTGGGATTAGAGAATCATGGACTAGACGAGTTGGTAGACCAACTCGGCGAGTCAGGTCAATTGAATGTTGACTTTGACTGACCCTGTTTACGGTTGTATGTGATGTGTGTTGACTTGAAGGTTGTCGTGTAGGGATCAAGGAGTCGTAAGGAGTCGACTTGTGCGTCGAGGATAGTTCAGACACTGCACGATATTGAGGTGAGTTACCTTCCAGTAGGGGTGGGTCTAAGGCCATAATGCCGACCCACCAAAAAGGGGTATTTAGAAGATAATGGTCTTTGTGATAATTATCTTGGTCTGGTTATGTGATGGTTATGAGGTTTACCTAGATGGTATGTTATGTGTATTGTAGGGATTAGTTTTCCTGACAGTGGTCCTTAGGACCCAAGGGTAGGTCAGTACCCGGATATGCCTGACTGTATGCTTATATCTGTTGATTGGATGCTAGTAGTAGGGGTGAAATAGTCCCTAATTACTGGTTGAAAGATATCGATGTTGATTACCGGTTGAAAGATACCGATGATGGTTACCAGTTGAAAGATATCGATGAAGGTTACCGGTTGAAAGATACCGATGAAGGTTACCGGTTGAAAGATACCGACGATATTGTATGGTATGTGGTATGATGGGGGAACTCACTAAGCTTTGTGCTTACAGTTTTGTTTTTGGTTTCAGGTACCTCTTCGTCGAAGGGGAAAAAGTCGGCGGTGTAGCAGCGCATCACACACACACATGTTTCCGCAAGAAGTTTTTGGGACTGTACTCTGATTTTCCATACTTATGACGTTATGGTTTAAAATACAACATTATGATTTTGTAATGGAATGTTTTATTGACAATGCTTTGGTAAAATGTTTATTTAATGCGTTAATTCAAAAATGAATTTTTTGGCCTTGAAAATTGGGTCGTTACAGTTGTTGTAACATCCGGATTCCCAGGTATATTATTTTACTTATTTATTTTTGAGGTTTATTGAGCAACTCGACGAGTTGGTTCTACAACCCTCCGAGTAGATTCGGGCGTGGTCACGTGGGATTAATGATCTACTCGACGAGTCCGAGAGTCAACTCGCCAAGTAGGCGCTGTGAGAGGAAACCCTAAATCCTCGGGTTTGGGGAATATATAAGGACACTTATAGCCTCATTTGTGGCTCCCCATCTACTTCCCTTCACTAATAGAAACCCTAATCACCCCTTAAGCTTTTGAGAGAGTATTGAGCCATTATTTGAGATCTTTGGTGCATTTTTGGTACAGAAGAGGAGGATTTCAAGCAAGGATCGTGAAGAGGCTGTTGGATTTGTTGCTAAACATCCATGAGCTTCTGTTTAAGGTATAAAGTTCGTATCTTTTTCATTAGTATTGGTAGATCTCATGATGTTAGATTTTAGGGCTTCTTTTCCATCTTATTTTGGGACCATGAAGGTGTTGAACACCTTTTGAGATGTGGACGTCAAATCTGGACCTTGTGAGGTCCCTAAAGTCGAAAGTTCCTTGCTTTTATTTAGCCATATTAGCTCCTTGAATGAGAAACTTCTTCTCAAGCATGTTCTTGGCACTTCTAGCCCTAAAGTGCCATGCATGAACGTAAAGATCGTGGCTTTACGTGATATTCAAGCCTTGAGAGCTTAGATCTAGAGTCTTAGAGGGTTTTCTGCCTCGAAATTTTCTGAATACCATTTGAGTCTGAATGGACTCGCCGATTTGATGAGCCGACTCGACGAGTCGGTTAGGGTTTGTCTCGATGAGTTGGACCACATGATAGCTCGACGAGTTAGGGGTTAACTCGACGAGCTGGACCTTCATGAGACTATTGAGAAATGTTGGGACTCGACGAGTCACACAAGTGCACTTGGCGAGTCAGGTCAACTGGGGCTGTTGACTCGAGTTTGACTTTTTTTGACTTTTTTTTGACTTTAAGGTTTGGTCAAAATGAGCAATGGAGATCAGGGAGGGGTAAAATGGTCTTTTACCCATTCATAGGGCTAGAGTGAAAGAGAGAACAACTTTCAGTGTATTTGTGTATGAGTAGAGTATTAATTTGAGATAATTATCCTATGTGGTAGACGGCGGCTAGATCGAGGATTTTGAGTACGAGACTTTTACTTGCTAGCTTACGAGGTAAGTCTTCTCACTATACTTTACCTAGAGCGGTATTTATGTGTGACCAGAGGGTCTTATGTGCTTACTTGAGTTATGCATTTGTCTGTGTGATATATATGCTATATTATGTGTTAGTGAGATCGGACCGGAGGGTCTAATGAGCTGTGAGACCGGAGGGTCCTCACTGATACCGGATCATAGGGTCCAATAAATTGTGGGACTGGAGGGTCCTACTGAGACACATAGACCGGAGGGTCCTACAAAGTTATAGCCTCGAGTGGCTAATATGTTGTCTATGGTATTTTAGGGAACTCACTAAGCTTCGTGCTTATCGTGTTATGTGTTATGTGTTTCAAGTACTTTCAATGATCGCGGGAAGGCACCGGCTTGATTGTACACACACATCTAAGCTGGAGTTATATTTTTGGATCCTGGATTCGTGATAAATTTTTTTTGAAATATGTGTTGATATTTGATACTTGAAGTTTTTGGAAAAATGTGACATGTGTTTTATTGTGTTTGTAAATGAAAATTTTTGTTTGAAATTTTACGTTGTTACAGTTATTGTCACTGACACTTTTCAGAAGGATCCTGCTCCTTCTGAGTCTCCCAGGAGTGTTCGCCATGTCAAGAGGCGCTTCACTGTTTTAGAAGCCTCTTCTAGCGGTCACACTAAGACCGCTAGCACTGAGCCCCCTCTTTGCAAGAAACGTGTGACAACCCGAAATTTCTATCTTGTACAACGAATCAACTTAATCAAAGTCAGACTTGTTTCGCTATCTTTTAGCCTTGATAAGGGTCTGTTTGAGTAAAGAATCCATGCTAATCTTATTTGAAATTATAGTTATGATCCTTTTGCTGAAAATGATAACATGTGTTTTGAAAGTAAACAACAAAATGATATTCAAAATACAACTTTTGTAAAACAAATGGATCATAATTTCATAAATATATCATAAACAAATAACACACTTGTTGAAATTATGTGAAAATGAGACGTTACACATAAATATCAACAACCCCACACACTTCATCAATGACTGTCCCACGTAAGATGTCGTGAGAAAAACTTAAAAAAATCATTCATAAGTATTGAATACATATAAAAACAAAAATGTCTTATTTTGAAACAAAAAAATATTAATGACTAAATGTGTACAAAAATATTAAGGACTGAATATATACAAAATGAGAAATATATTACCCTATTAAATCATTTTTACCAGCTAACCTGGAGTAACCGGTCATAAAGATTGAATGTTTATAGTTTAACAAGTTGAAGGGGTAAATGTGGACGAAAAAAAAACTTAGTAACAAAATATATACAAATCGAAAAATATATTACCCTTTTAATTCATTATCCCTTATTTTTATTGATAATTCATCTTTTTTTTTCATAAACAAATTTTAGTTTTTCATTTTTTTTTTTTTTTTTTTTTTTAAATTACAGCCTTGTATTTTCCAAAAGACCATACTCCCCGTGAAAAAACCGTAAAACCATATTGTATTACAAAAAAGTTTTCACATGGCTTTAGGGTGATTAGTTTTTTTTTTTTTTTCTCTTTAAAAGAAAAAAACATTTTTGTTATTATAGACTTGAAATAATACTTTTTTATTAAAAATCTTTTTTACGTTCTTTATCTTTAATTTGAGGGTGTTATTATTATTATTATTATTATTATTATTATTATTATTATTATTATTATTATTATTTTAAAGCTAAAACTTAAGTTCCTAAATCTCTCAACAAATTGGTGACCTTAGATCGGTTTATAGATAACGATTGCTTATAATTTGAGGCTAAAAAGAAAGATATTTTCAAAATCGGATTCGATTGTGTAAAATCGGGTCGATCAATCTTACGTATTCTGATAGAGTCGGTCAGTGATTCCTTATTTATTCCATGGTTTCCACCTGAAAACTCCGATCTCTCAATCGTCATCCCTTTTTGTTACCAACACCGTCGCCGGTAGAGTGATCAATATGGGTGGTGGAGTAGTCATGAGAGCCGCCGCGAAGGTCGCTGGGATGGGGGTCTTTAACGGTAGCCTTCGTGGCGCCGGAAACCCCATCGTTTCCACCGCTCGTCAGGCCAGTGTTTCCGTCGCGTCCGTCGTTTCTTCTTCCGATGATGTGAAATTAGCCATCGCTAATAATGAAAACAAGGCGAATTCATCGGTAGAGAAGGTCTATGATGATTGGGAATTGGCTGGCTCCGAAGACGAGCTTTTTATCGAGGCGAGAGAGCCGAAGCCTAGGGTGGTTTTCGGCGGTGCTCCTACTATTCAAGAGGCCAAACAAGCCACTTATGATCTTAATGATGCTCTTCAGAAGTAAATATTTTTCGTGTTTACAGTATTATCGTATTCTACATCTGTATATTGTTTGTTTAATCAATCACTTCTAACAATTTTAGCAATTTCTTATTGCCTCACTCTGTTCGTAATTAGGGTCCATAACTCTGATGGAGTTGATCTTATTAAACTATTCAAATTTTCCAGGACTTATCTGTCTCCGAATGCAACCAATGGTCAAGTGTTATCGGCTTTTTCAAATTCTGAAAATGTGGAGACGAAGAATTGTCTTGTTAGTGAATCGTCAGTATCAAGCCATGCAATCAAAGCTTTTAAGCTTCTTAACGAAAGCCCATCTGCACAGGTATGTCTGCTTCTACAGTTCTACTTGTGAGTTTCTTATGTACACCATAATTGAAGCAAAATCACATTTTAATTCCTTTCTTTTGGTTCTTACCAGAATGTTGTTGCTTCAATTGCTTCTGATCCAAATGTGTGGAATGCCGTTTTGAAAAACGAGGCCCTTGTGGAATTCCTCGAGAATCATCAATCAAGTTAGTAACTTTTCAACTTCTTGAACAAAATAACAACACCTTTCGGTTCTTCTTCTATGAAAAAAAATAATGATCGGAATTTGAATAATCTTTTTAGGTGTTGTTTTTCCGGAGTTTGATCTAGATGGAAAGGGTTCTTCGACTGATGAGAGTGAATCGAAATCTGAATCTGGAAAGGGTTTCATGGATTATGTGATGGACATCAAACATAAAGTTACAGTTACAGTGGTTGACATGATGAACAGTTTATCTGATACCTTTCAGACCCTTTTCGGTGGTGCACCAAAAGGAGAATTGACTGTGAATCCAGATGGAACTGCTGGAATATCAATGGAGAAAACCGCCATTGGAGCAACTCTTATGGGATTGGCAATCATGGTTATTACTGTGGTAATAACTAAACGTTCTTAGAATATCATCTTCTTATTTGTCGAAACTTCAAGTTCTCTTTTACCTGTTTTGCATATATAGTTTGCATACGTTTATTTTCACGAGTCATGTTCTTATGTTTTGAGCTTATTGCCATAAAACTAGCTTAAAAAAGCTATTTGAAATAGCTTAAGTAGTTAAGCTAATGGCAAAATTGTCAAATATACCCTTAATGAAAAATAGGTTCAAGTTTTTAAAGCATACTTAAGTAGTATTTTAAAATTTTCTAATTTAGTATATCAAAATGCACAAATATAAGAGAATGTATGTCATCATTTTTATCATTTAGTAATAGTATATATATGGGTTTTCTTAACCGTTAAACTTTATTAGGGTTTAATTGTTGACTTCAAGTTTTTTATTAGACGATTAGTGGTTATAAAGGCTAGCTTAGAGGCTGTTTGTAAGCCTCATACTGGTTTCATTAAAAGTCAACATTTTAATCTTTAAATATCAAGATTGTTTGGTAACATTAAATATTATTTCCGTCTATTTATGAACTTTTTTTTTGGTGAAAATATGGTCTTTGCCCTCTTCTTACCACTTCGTACCAACATTCACCAAATTCAAGTGGGTTAAAATATTTTTCTATCGACAATTCTAAAATTATTATTTATAAACTGAATCATATATATTTACTTGCATGCCTGAAATATCGGTTAGTATTCTTCGATTTATCTCCCGATTAAAGTGATGTAATTTAGCTATCATTTTTTTTCTCTTATTCTTAATCACATTTAGATAATATTTCATACAATGTAACATTAGGTTATCTTTCTATGTCATTTTATATTTATGACCTAGCTTATCAAATTAATTTTACCAAACGTAATTATTTTATCAAATACATATAAGTCACGATTCCTAACTCTTAACTTCCACTTCCCTCCTCTCATCCCTTACATTGGTCCTCCATAATCCTCCCATTACCCCTTTTTGATTGCAACTTATTTCACGTTTTATTTTTGAAGTATCCATAAATTACCAATAGAATGGATTACTAATACAAATATACAATCATACATCGGATACTAATTGAACATAGAGTACATGTTTATTCTTCTTTGTTGGAACACTTCACTATGTTTTCAACTTTATATCAGCAACTTTACAAATTACACAATGTTAAAGAACACAAGGGGGTTACATACACATATGTTTTCATATACACCTCCATAATCCTATCTTCTTCCCCTGTTATGTAGCAAATGAAGTTGTAATATTCTCCTCCAATTTAAGAACACTTTTAAACCAATCTACAGATTTCTTCGGGATTCTTGTGAGATTATTCTTATAATCCACATAATACAATCCAAATCTAATCGTATACCCATAATTCCACTCCCAGTTATCAAGAAGTGACCACACAAAATAACCACGCACATCACAACCATCTTCCCTGCATTAATCACAGCTCTTTTACTTTGTTCAAGGGCAATTGCGTCCTTTTACACATAATAGCAACTTACTCACATTTATTTACCAATAATACCAATATGTAACAAATGAAGGATATTCCCCATATCATTAGTTACATTTATGCATATTATTGGTGAAGAAATGTAAATACCAAGTATGTTAGGGGTAAAAAAGTAAAAGTATGGTAGTGAGAGTCAAGTAGGTTGCTATTTACCTAATGGCAGCTGATAGGTTTGATAAATAGTCCCTATGGTAATTTATTCTCTTGTCATCTTGCAATGCCTCTTGTAAATCTATACTAGATTTATTTGGGTCATCCATACCTGAAAGATTTTGAGTTTTTAATTTATAAATTATAAATATGTCATGAATTGAAGTAAAAACATTTGGGTTATGAGTCTTTAAATGAGATGTATACCATTTTCAGTGATGATTACTGGTGGATTCCCGTATTTTTCTTTTATATATATTGCTAATTTTCTCAAACCCCATGGCACTATGCGTAACCAAGTGGAAGTACCCTGAAAAACGATATTGGTAATTATATTTCATAACTTTTTGGGGGATTATTTAAAAAATTATTATATTTCGGACGATTTTGTAATTTGTCCTTAAGTTTTTCTGTATGATTTATCCATCAAATGCTACAATTGAAGGTTACCTTTTCTCCAATGGATTTTCCGTTTCTTGAAGCTATACATTACACAAGAATACGAATTAGTAAATTAAGAATAAACAAAATTTCATTTTTAAGTTATGAAATTGATTTTTGTTTGAAAATATGAAATGGGAATTTATCTTTATTGAAAAAACTTACAAGGTGTAATGACAGCGGAATCAGTTGAAGCATCTTTGAGTATGAATTTCCGGATTCTTGTTTTATCATTTTTAGCGTATAACGAGGTGTAATGGTTAATTCCAACAAAGTCCAGGGTGCCAATTAGAAACTCTGAAACTTCAGGGGTGATTTCTGGTAATCTTTCACCTACTAGCGTTTGCATAGAAAGAGGATAGTTTCCAAGAAGAAGAGGATCAAGAAACCTGATGCACTTTACTCTGCGTTACACAGTGAGATTGGTTTTATCCCCAAATAACAATCTTCTTATTCTCTTTTTCTTTTTTCTTTTTTTTTTTAATAAATCAATATGATTAAAAATTAAAAAATTACCAGCCAAGTCCAAAATCCATTGCTCTATTTGCAGCTTCTTGATCTTCATCAGATTCAGAAAAAGGTTCATACCATTTGATATCTAATGATATCCCAATTACACCTCCTTGTTTTGCCTGAAATTTACACAAATCAAGATATTCATTCATACAAACACATTATCATTTATTCATTGCTTTCTTTCTTTTTTCCTACAAATTTGGTTGAAGATAAGATATACCTTGAAATGATCATGGTAGCCATGATAAACAGTGGCATGAGAAAGAAGAATGTTGTGAGCTACAATGTAAGGTTCTTCGGATGATTTTCCCTTTTTACATAACAAATGGAATAGAAAAGAGCATCTCCCTGGTGCTTGAATACCATAATCATAGCCTTGAATTGCAAAACCATGAGGCTCATTGAAGGTGATCCAGTGTTTCACTCTATCACCAAATTCTTTAAAACATGTAAAAGCATAATGCTTAAAATCCTCTCTGCAAAACACATGATTGATTTCTGAAAGTTTCTTTTTAAGATATTTACTGTTTGTAAAGGTAAATAGTAAATAGTAATTAGCTTGCTTACATTATCTGAGTGTTCAACCATCCTTCGTATTTATCTTCAAGTGTTTGTGGAAGATCCCAGTGATACAAAGTTGCATATGGCTGGATTCCTGAAAGTAACATGTTCATCGGGATCATATACTATTATTTCATATGGTTTTTGATGCAAATTGAGTGAAAGTGACCTTTTTCCAATAAAGAATCAATGAGGTTGTTATAGTATTCAATCCCTTGAGGATTCGGTTTGCCTGTTCCATCTGTTAACATTGAAATACGTTTTAGTTTATCTGCCACTATCAATGAAATCGACAGTATACCATATTGTTGTAGAATCATTAAGGTGATTAGTAAATTTACTTGGAAATATTCTTGACCATGATATTGAGAATCTATAAGCATCCATTCCCAGATTCTTCATCAAGTCGATATCGGTCTGATGATGGAAAATAAAAAATTATTTACATTGAGTCAACGATACTGAATTCGTTTAATATTTGTTCGGTTGTAATCAGAATAAAGAAAGGAATCGAGTATTGACTGGAGTAGAAGTTAAGTTTTGACATCGATGCTTGCTTAATTCGAGAAATTTGAACCTTGAAGCGATGATATTGATCGACAGCCTGATCCGCATTGCTGAAGTCCAATATCCGTCCTGCAAGTATCACCATCACCGTTGAATTAGCCATATCCAGTTACAAATACATGTTCAAGTAATCAAGTTCGTGTAAAGTGTTTAAAACAGGAAGAGAATTGAACTCTGCTTACCAGGTAGCCTTGAGAAAGTATCCCAGATGCTATCTCCTTTATTTCCTTCGTCAACTGCTCCTTCAAACTGCAATAAATAAACGACCCTGTTGAATATCTCTAGTATGCAGACAACATGCTCGACTAAATGTCTGAAACGATTGAAAAAAAAAAAGTAAGACAAACCTGATAGGCAGAAGAAGCAGTTCCGAATGTAAATCCATCTGGGAAATCAGCTCGGCTTGTAGATTCCGACCTCAAGAACATAGCTGTTGTAAGCAACAGCGAAAGAAGTAAAATCGACTTCATGAAGTTTGATGTTTGCATAATGTTTATGGCGTGGAAGTATTTATAAATGCCGAAAGTGACGTTGAGTGTATGATAATATTTAAATAGCAAAATCAAGAGAAATGAAGGATGTGACGATGCGTGGAGATGACGCGTCGGATAAGCAAGGATGATGGATGATCCGAAGCGGTAGAATTTGTCCTGTCGATATCGTTTATTATTGTCTTTTAAAACACGACTTTTAAAATAAAAGTGATAACTTAATAGCTTTTTTTATTCTTCACTATAAAACAATTTAAATTGTTTTTAAGCATTTTATTATTTAGAAATTTATCTTTTAAAACACGACTTTTAAAATAATAGAAATAACTACATGACTTTTTTTTTATTCTTCACTATAAAACAATAACTACATGACTTTTTTTTTAATCTTCACTATAAAACAATTTAAATTGTTTTTAAGTATTTTATTATTTGGAAATGAAATTTATAAAATGATATGAGACAAGGATTATCGTAGGAGAGAGGCAAGGGTGGGTAGCAAATAGCAATTACAACGAATTACGAATGTATACGTTTTTAAATGACAAGTTCGTTTTATTTTATTTAGGTGAGTTGAATTTAGCAATTTTTAGTAAAATAAGAAGTTGTGACAAATAAATTAAACCTCGTTTACATATAAAAAAGATTAGTTACTGACAGACAGAGAAATCTTTAAATATTCTACAATTAGGTGCGAAACTTATGTATTACATGAGTTTATTTAATATATATATATATATATATATATATATATATATATATATATATATATATATATAATTTTAACAATTTGAAAATTTTGAATTTATAAAGAAAAATGAGAAATCTTTTGAATTATTAAAATTAATGAGGTTTTAATGTATTGGATACATTACATATATAAACCTTTTTTAATAAATACCTTACATATATATTACTTTACATATTAAATGTAGAATTTTAATTTAATAAAATGAAAAATACAATAAAATGATAAGTGGAAAATAAAAAATTTAAAAATGTTAGAAAATGCCATGTGTTTAAATGGAGAAGAGGATATGTGGTAAAAAAACTTTCATTTATTATAGTAGATTTTATTTATTTCATCCATTTTGATTTTCAGTCATAATTTTTTTATTTGTAAAAAAACTGGAAAAAAAAAACAAAATTTTAAAATAGGATTCTCTACAAAATTAATAGTCATGAAAACTTGAAAAAAAAATACATTTAATTTTTTATTTTTACATAAACCCAAAAAAAGTAAATAAGAAATCACCAAATGTCATAAAAAAAAAAAAGGAGGGGGGGAGGGTGTTGGCCTACACACAGCTTTAAAAATAATAATAATAATAATAATAAAATTATAAGATTGGTTTTATGGGATTCAAAAAATTTGGATGGAATTCAAAAACTCTTTTACTTGTTCAAAATCAAGGTTTTTTTAATGTGTTTTTAATCCCTAAACAAATTAAAAAGATCGTTTTAGCATTTTCATTTCTTTTTTTCTTTTTTTAAATCTATATAATATATTTTCAATTTAGAAATAATAAAAAACAAATTCAGCTA